ATTCCGGCCAATAGTGTAAGTGGGGTCCCCTTTCTCCACAACCTCTCCAACATTTGTTGTTTCTTGCCTTGTCAATTTTTGCCATTCTAACTGGTGTAAGGTGGTATCTCAACGTGGTTTTGATTCAAATTTCCCTGATGGCTAATGATTATGAACATTTTTTCATGTGTCTGTTGGCCGTTTGTCTGTCTTCTTTGGAGAAGTGTCTGTTCATGTCTGATGCCCATTTTTTGACTTGATTATTTGTTTTTTGGGGGTTGAGTTTGAGAAGTTCTTTATAGATCTTGCATGTTAGCCCTTTGTCTGTAGTGTCATTTGCAAATATCTTCTCCCAAGTGAAAATGCACTGTTGGGACTTTATCAAGATAAAAAGCTTCTGCACAGCACAGGAAATAGTCAACAAAACAAAGAGGCAACCCACAGAATGGGGTTATTGTGCACATTACAACTGCTCTCATTTGCAGCTGCATGGCAAAATACCTCAATAAAAAGTTTTCTGTTTTTCCTCAGCCATGTTAAGATTAGTTGGGAATCATTCTAGACTGAGTTCTGAATGTGAATATGAAATAGATGGATCTCTTAGACTGGAGGACTGACAGACACATGGAGGACTTTCGGTAGTGTAGAGGAGGGGACTAGATCTGACAGTGTAAGCAGGGGAGCCTTCCTGGAAGAGGTAATGTCTGAGCAGTGTAACAGAGGGTCTAAGGATCCTAAGCCCAGCTCCATCCCCACAAGCCCTGTGGTTTGGGGCTAGTTTCTTAACTTCCCTAAACACCAGTTGCCTCACCTACAACGAGAGTGATAGTATTTGGCTCACAGTTTGGTATCCGTGGGCTTTCAGGAAATTGCACCATTCTCCTCTTTTTCCATTTCCCTCTCCTTCCGCTTTAGTGTTTACACTCGAATGTGGGGGGTTGCTCCTTTGAGTTTCAGTTTATACTCTCTCCCTTGGTCACCTTGCCTGCAGCCCTGTCTCACAAAGGTTCCCACTCAGTCTCCTGGTATGCTCATCTCACACTCTACATGTGCACACGGATCCCTGCCAAGGCAGTTTACATTCAGCCACTGTGCAAACAAATTTGTTATTTCTTCCCTAAACTCCCTCTTGACTCTGGAATGGATAGTTCTTCTAAATAGGGCCCCTGGTCTCACAGACACCAAACCTCTGAGTCATCCTTAAACGCTTTTTCTCCCCCTTGTTCCTTATCTAATCACTCAGCAAATTCTGTGGGTTCTTCCTTCAAAACTTCTTCCATCAGAACAGACAGGAACACTTACGTGGTTACAGTAATTGTGTCAGGGGTTTCGTAGGGTAACAAGACTGTTTCTTTATCATAGATTTATTCATTTGAAAACTAAAATTAAAGACATTTCCATTCTCCAAACTTAACAGCCTGAACTATTTATTGCACAGTTAGGGAAATTGGGTCTTTCCTGACAGTCGCTCCCACGGCAGCGTCTTGCACACAACTTCCAAGCCAACCTGGGACTTCCCTGCTTAAGATCTTCAACAGTCCCTCAGTGCTTCTGAGTCGCAGAAAAGGAAGAAGGCTCATGTTTAAAGCTCTCACACCTCTTCGCAGCCTATCTCTCAGGCTCTTCAACCCCTTCTTCTATTGCTCCAGTTCACTCCCCCACATTCTCCCTTAAGCCTCTAAACATTCTTGGAATCAACTAACATTTTCCTGACTGCAAACATGTGCTCATAACATTCTTATCACCTTTCATATTTTTTCCTTATTGCACTGATGTTCATTCGTCACATTTAGCTGAATCACTAGGCCAGTTATCTTCCTCCACCCCAATGGCCATGGTCTTTTCTCTCTTTTTGATCCCCCACGCTACATTGGCTGTGGCATTCTCTTAACATTAATCACATAAAACCTGCCTAGTAGATTATAGATTCTTGGACACAAGTATTGGCACATTCTTAATGTGCCTCTGAATACAATGTGTTCCCCGGTTTATTAAAAGTCTTTGATTTAGTCATTATATGGTTCCTGGGACAGAGTGAGAGCCATGATCCTTAACCTCTGACAAAGTCATACACTTATTTGCTGTTTTTTAAAAATATTTTTGACATAATTACATAAACTTATTGTTTTGGAATTGGAAAGCTCTATAGAGACTACTTCAGCCCCATACTCTTGCTTAGTCAGTATAGGAATGAGGCCTTAAGGGGTAGAGTGACTCGATGAGAACACACAGCTAGTTTTTGGGAAGGTCAAGTATGAAGACTTGGGTCAACTGTTGACACTGGAAGCAGCTGGGTTCCCAAAGCACTTCCCAAAATACCAAATTCAGTGTCCTCTACACAGAAGAAACCTTCGCCACCTGGGTCCAATAAAAAGAATGTAGTGATGTAGAGCTGGAGAAGTACAGATTTTGAAATCAGACAAACTCAGTGTAGATTCAGGCCTGGTCACTTATTAGCTTCATGGATTTTGGAAAATTACTAAGCTGTTCAGCTTTTTTCCTCATCTGTAAAATGTGGGCAATTATCTCCACTTGGTGAAGTGGTGTTGGTGAAATGGTGTCATGTGTATGAAGTGATTGGAACACAACACATTGAAGCCATTATTTAAAATAATTCTCAGTAAGTTACAAACTTGTATATTTCATTTTTCTTAATGCATAGAATTTCGTCACAGATCTTTTTTTCTAAATTGAGAAATGGATAGTGGATTTCTTTCTTTCCCTTTGCTCTCAGAATGTTGAAATTTTGGTGGGTAGTCATAGTATTACTAAAAAGCCCCACCCAGTTATTCACGGAAAAGTTCCTTTTTTTAAAAAAAAAGTATTATCAAGAACAAAATATTTTAGAAGGTGAATGTGTACAGCACTTAGTGTAGCTAAACTGGGTGCTAGAGATCTTTTTTTTTAAAAAACACTATCCAGAGCTCATTGTTTTCCTGGATAAAAAGGTGTTACATTCACTTAATAAACACTTAGAGAGCTCCAACAGGCCTTGCTTGAAGTTAAGTCTTCAACTCCATAACTGGCCTTGACTTTCAGCTCTTTTCCATAATGCCACCTTGCCTTTTACACCAGTTCTATGAGCTCAAGCAGGAATAAAGACTGCCTGCCTGTATAATGGTGGGACAGAAAGGAATGGTGGATAAAGTCATGGGAGAATAAACAAAGATCTGGTACCAATTCTAAAACACTGCTGGGCCCTGATATACTTTGTGTTTTTATATCACATACGGAAGTAAAAGCAAGGTGTTTTAATATCAGATAGGAGGATCATGCTAGATAACTTTATTTTTTTAAAAGATTTTATTTATTTATTAGAGAGAGAGAGCACAAGAGGAAGAGGGAGAGGGAGAAGAGGACTCCCCACTAAGCAGGGAGCCCGATGTAGGGCTCGATCCCAGGACCCTGAGATCATGACCTGAGCCGAAGGCAGATGCTTAAACTGACTGAGTCACCCAGGCGCCCCAATGCTAGATGATTTTAAAAGTCCCTCTACTCGACTTCTAAACTCTAGAATGTTTTAATACTGATAGGTTTCCATGCAAACCTATAGGAGTTCCTTTCTTGGAATCCCTATACAACTGGCTCCAGCATTGGGTAACACAGGGTTTATTCAGTTCACTACAGTAAGCATGAGCCAGAGAAACAGAGAAAACTGTTGTCTTCCTTCTTATAAATCTTTTACTAACCGAAAAAGAGTGATCAAAAACATTTAGGAAAGAATATCATTACTGGAGCCACAAATACCTCCACATCTGATCCATGGACTATGGCGGCGTATTTCCAAGTTGAGGATTTCATTTAACCAGGGAAGGTATTCGAGGGAGTAGGAAACCTAGGATGGACTCTGCTAACCAGACTGATGTGAATTACTAAAGGGAAATGTTCTTGGGGTTACTCTCCATAAAGATGATGTCCTTTTGTGTTTTTGACAGGGACAGTGCTGGACTGGGGGAAGGAGAGACCTTTACTCTGACCAGCCCCATATAGATTTGTGCTGCCCAGTGTAATCACCTGGATGCTTTAAGTAATCCTGCTGCCCCCTTCCTACCCATCCCCAGAGATGCTAATCTAAGTAGTCTGAGGTGTAGCTTGAGCATCTGGATTTTTTTTTTAAGCTCCCCACGTGACTCTAATGTGTGGCTAGTCTTGCAAACCACTGGAATATACTTAAGGTCTTCTAACAAACCTTCCTCTTAAAACCACCACCCTATCATTTCGTTTTCTGGCGCTTGGTTTTTGTTTGGGCATTTTTCTCCCCTTGCATCACACACGCACACTCCATGGGATGGTGCATTTCTTCCAGCAGTCGGAATAGAATAGCCCCAAAGAGGAATTCATGAGCTGTCCTTGGTAAATAAGGAGAACCCTGGCGAGGAAAATGATTCCCACCCAAACATAGTATGAACAATGGTCACTCCTTGCTGTGTTGCTTGACCTGTTTTCTTGGGCCATTTCCCACTTGCTGTTTTCAGATTACGGAGTGTGCTAGGAGACCACACACTGTTTTTTCCCCATTCCTTGTTGGCATTTGACAGACCTCCAGTTGAAGGCACCAGGTCCCTGGGTGGGCACTCTTTCTCAGTTTCCAGGGCCTACCTGGGAATCCACCGCACCTTCTGCTCAGCTTGGCAGCACTCATGAGCGCTAAATTTTCTCTTAACCTAATTCAGATTTCCAGGAAGCGAAGCCCAGGCTGCTTGAGCCACGCCCCTCTCCTCCGCCCCCCGCCCCCCAAGTGTTTTGTTTACTTGGAAAGTAGATATTTACATTTCCAGATGGGAGCTCCGCGCTGGCCCCACCCCTGCAAAGAGCAAAAGGGAGTCCAGGCGACCGGCCAGAGAGCCCCTCTCCCGGCCCATTATCCCCCTTCCCCAGTCTAGGGTCTCTAGGGGAGGGAGCCGCGAGAGTCCCCCGCCCTCGCCCTGCCCGGCACCTGGTGCGAGCTAAACTCTCCTCCGAGCGTCTCTTCACCCCACCCTTTGTGATTCAGAGCCCCAACCCCGCCCAGGAGCTAATTTAACTCGCCTGGCGGCACACCCAGGCGCTGCTGCTTCTTACAGCTCCTTGCTGGAGCCCGCTTCCACTTACTCCGGGTCCCGGGCCCCGCGCGCCATGTGCCTCCCCGGCGGGCCGAGCGCGCCGCCGCCGCTGCTCCTGCTGCTGCTATTGCTGGGTCCACCTGCGGCTCAGGGTGAGCGGGGGCTGGGGGGCCCGGCCCGGCCGGGGGAACCCTTAGGCTGGGTGGGAGGGGCTGGATCTGTCTCCGCGACGACCGAGAAGTCTGGGCACCGGGGGAGGTGAGGAATGAGGGCATGGGTAAATCGTTCTCGTAATCCTCTACCCTTAAGTCTCGGAGCTCCTACTGGCACGATCCCTTGGGGACAGGGAGAGGATCTCCGGGCTGTCCTGCAGTGTGGGGTCTTGCTGTGCTGGACCCCAGCTAGCACGGCTTCAGGAGTGAGGCGGGGACCGTTGAGGAAGCGCAGGCTGAGTTTGCGGAGCAGCCAAACCTGGGGAAGCCAAAGGGCAGGGCTCAAAGAGTGAATTCTCAATCCCTCAACATCTCTTTAAGGGTGGGAGGCCAGAGTTGACCACTGTCACCTCTTAAACAGAGTCCAATTGTGTGCTGCACGGGACGCTACCCGTTAGCAAGTCTTGTCTTCCAGGTGGAACATTCCACGGGGGCGTCTGTCTTTAATTGTGTGCTTAGTAACAGCATCAATGTGCAGATCAATTCTAAACCACCTTTTTTTTTTTTAATGAAGGGGGGTTGATTCTGTCCTTATTTTAAGACTGAATTAATTGACAAGACAGGCAGCCTAGCAAATTCTTGGTATGTCTGTTCAGCACCATATGGAAACCTTACCTGTGCATCAAAAGCCTTGGCTGCTTCCCTTACTCCTCTTGCAAAAGGAATGTTGCTATGAACTGAAAAGTGTTATTTCCTTCAGTTCTGTTTTTTCTTTTTTCCTCCCTAGGTGACTGCAACATTCCCCCAGAGGTACCTAATGCCCAACCAACTTTGGGAGGTCTCTCGAGTTTTCATGAAGGAAGCACAGTAACATACAAATGTAATGAAGGCTTTGTAAAGGTTCCTGGCAGGGCCGACTCAGTGGTCTGTTTCAACAATAAATGGTCAGAGGTGGCAGAATTCTGTAACCGTAAGTTCTTCATTTTTGTATATATAAGTTATGGGAATGGAATGTACTGCGTTAGCTTAATTTTATCCCTCTTTGGTGTGAGTGGTAATTGATAGTTTTCAAGCATTAGGAAACACCAGGGTATATAAACCTGGCACTTCACACTGCAGCTAATTGACGACAGTACTTCCCAGAATAGGTCCTGCTTCTTCCTTAACAGGTTTGGGCTTTCTGTTGTTCTCTCCCCCACCCCCCGCCCCCACCTAATGCTGTACCCCCTGAACTAATAGACAAAATAAACAATAGGTACAATTTAGGAAGTAAATTATATATGAAGATGTTTGGCAATCACCTCGCAACATATAACATAGGTCTTCTGTGTTCTTAAATTTCATTTTGTAAAGTAGGACTCACCAAATACAACTCTGCGGTAGCATTTTAAAAAGTTCTCTGTATTTCCCTCAAAATCTATCACTAGATGCATAGTCCTATATTAACTTTGACAGAGACAAATAAAGATAAAGATGAGACTTGGTTCCTAGCTTTGGACAACCTGGAGTAATAGAAGGTACAGGAAATATAGAAACTGCCACAAGTATTTTGTGAAACCTGTGAGAAATCAGCTTGAACCTTTGGGTTTTGTGTGTGCAGGATAGAAGGCAGTGGTTGAAGTACTTAAGCCTTTGCACGTGTATCATGTTTTAGTTTATAATGCTTCTACATAGCTGACTCCATTGACTCCTCCATGAGTGGACAACCCCATGAGTGGAGTAGGGACTCTTATCCCCATTTTTCAGTAAGAAGTAGCCTGAGGAAATAGTCCCCCAGAAGTTAAGTAACTTCTTGAAATCACCAGTTCTTTTGCAGGAGAGCCAAGGTCCAAACTTGAGTCTTTGGACTATAAAGTCCATGTCCCTTCCACTGTACCATGCCTCTACACATTCACATTTGCCCAGATGTTTACCATTTATAAATACTTTTATGTATACCCCTGGCTCACCTGATCCGTTGCCTTCTGGGTTGTTGTGAGGATGAAATGAGCTTATACATATACAACATTTAGAGGTATTCAATAAATATTAGCTATTATTGTTACTGTTATTGTTGTTGTTCAGGACATTAGCCCCAGGGGTCTGAGGAAATACTGGTCCTCCTCTCACCCCGTCCTCCTTTGGGCAGGTAAGGGTCAGTGGCAGAACGGTGCCAGGCAACTAAAATGTGTTATATTTCCTGAATTGTGGGCATAGTGATATCTAGGTACCAAATTTACTCATCAGGAAATAGAAATATATACGTGAATGTGTTTGACACACTGTAAATGTTGTAGTGATATTACTATAGTTAAATATCAAATATGTACAAAGAAGTACAGAAAAAGGGGTGATGTAAGGACCAAATAATTCCGGATAATTAAACATAAATTATCAAATAAGGTGATATTAATTATGTTGTTGCTTTTGTTAATACTTTTAGGTAGCTGTGATGTTCCAACCAGGCTACTTTTTGCATCTCTCAAAAAGTCTTTTACCAAACAGAATTATTTCCCAGCGGGTTCCATTGTGGAATATGAATGCCGACCTGGCTTCCAAAGGGACCATTTTTTCTCAGGAAAACTAACTTGCCTTCAGAATTTTACATGGTCCAAACCAGATGAATTTTGTAAAAGTGAGTATAATTTTACAGAGTATTCGTAATCATATGGTATTTGGGGAAATAGTATTTCTTCCTTCCTTCATGCTGGATGTCTGTGTGTACATATTATTACTTCGAATGATTCTGAAAAGAACGATTAGAGTCATTTTATAATTTTGTTTTAAATTAGGCCAACTAAATACTTGTGAGATGGGAGTATTAATTTATTCACATTTAATTTGTTTAAGGTTACCTAAGATGTAATAAGCATATATTCTAAATACGGTGTTTTATTTGAAACTTACAAAATGAAGGAAGGATTTTAAAAAGTCTAAGGATAAGAAATGTCAATAGTTCTATGCAAATGATTGATTTGCATAGAAATGCCTGATAATTTAATGAAAAAAAAATCAATTTGTGTTCCCCTCTAGAAAAATCATGTCCTAATCCTGGAGATTTAAGACATGGTCATGTCAGCATACCAACTGACCTATTATATGGTTCATCTATCTCCTTCTCATGTAACGAGGGGTAAGTTTTGGCATACTACATATTTATACTCTATATTTAACAAATGTGAAAACAAATTAGGACTTAAGATGGAAGTTTTTAGACTTGTGGTCAGTGTTTACAAGCTAGTCTCAATAAAACAACTCCTCTGCTCAAAGGTCTTTCATCGTGAGCTCATCATGGTTAAATTTAATAAAATGGGGGCAAGAAAGGACAATTTCTTGTAACACTGAATTCTCTCACTTGTTAGATTTCAGTACATATATGATTCACTATAAAATTTTAAATGTGATTAGTAAAGGAAAAAACCTGTAATATGTTGGCACTTGCAGAAATTATATCCGTCAAGTGTTCAAGTGAAACCAATCCTTACTTTACCTAAATAATGAATTTGCATTTTTTTCTGTGTGCAAACTGCCTGTTGCAAAATATTATGTGTTAAAAACATTTACTCCTAGCATAAAAATATCATGCTGACCTGAGGTCTTTTCTAAGTTCTCTATGTAGGGAAAAGGAACTCACTCTTTGGGTATCATCAGTGTCTCAGAGACTGCTGGAAACTTTATGTTCATTTTCTCATTAAATATCTGCATATTGAATTATGATATTTTACTCTGTGCGTGTGTGTGTGTGTGCGTGCCTGCTCTTTATAAAATAAAAATATCAACATCATGTGTCTCCTGTATGCAACAGAGATGCTTGGATCATTAATATGATTAATATCAAATCTGGGGAGTACTTTGAGCCTTAAAATATAAATATGTTCTATTATTCTATGAAGCCTCTGTTGATCTTTTAGAATTCAGAAATATAAAATATTCAAGCATCTATATCACTTTAAAATGTTTCAAAATACTTTCCTGTTTTCTCATGTGGACCCCACCCAAATAAAAAAACATTTTGTATGTCTTATACTTTTGTATCCTTTGGATATCACCTTTTTTAATTTAATTTTTTCTTTCCCTTTAAACTGCCATGTGAACTTTGATCAACTTGTTTTGTCTCCATCTACTGGTGTAGTAAATATTTTAAGATGATATTTTGGAGAATTTAAGGGAAGCCAAACTTGTGGATGGAACCTAACTTTTTTTCTCCCCTCATTGCTTTAGGTACAGGCTAGTTGGTGAAACTTCTAGTTACTGTTCCCTTGTAGACAAGGATGTTGGGTGGAGTGATCCATTTCCGGAATGCCAAGGTAAGACTGAAAAAAAACCTAAGCACTCTAGTTGTGAGGCTGAATAGTCAATGGTAAATTACTTTCTCTCATGAAGAATTATTCACATTGTGTATTTGTAGTACCCTCACCTTCCAGTGTAGGAGTGTCTTAGCTAATTTAAAGATCTTTATTAGTAATGTTTCTTAATTTATTAGCTGCAGAGATAAAGGATTAGAAAAACCCAACAAACTCCAAAACAAACAAATAAACAAACAAACAAAACAAATAAACAAAACCCCAGCAAACAGGTGTATATTGTGGTTGGTCATTTATTATCCTACCTTTCCTTCTAACAATCAAGCAAAATAGATGCAGGGTTTTTCTTCCCCATAATTTTTAATTTTATGAATTAAAATACTCTTGATCAGAGAGTCTATATGACCTGAACCTACATCCCAAAATAAGTGGCAAGAGAAGGCATTTAACCCAGACCTCTGGACATCAAACCCATCATTTTTCTAGGACTCAATGTTGCCTCATTCAGGATTATGAACTGAGCTAATTATCTATAAATGTTTTGAAATGGGATTGATTTTTCGTGACTAGAGAAATAAGGTTATACAATAAAGAAGAAATATGATTTCTGCACTTGAAAATCTTATCTTCTTAGAGGGAGATTAGGACATAGAAATAGTATCATAAATGCATGTATCCAGTCAAATTTATATCCACTAGAGGCATATGTCTCTTGAAAATTGAGAGGATTAAAATATGTGCAGCATATTTCTTTTTTCTTAGAAAAAAATGCACCATTTAAAAATGTAGGCTTTATTGTTTCTCCCATCTTTGCCAAAAGGTCAAGTTTTGGGTGTTATTAGGAGCAGAAAACTAGACTAGACTTAGTAAATTTGACAAGCGTGTCTTGATTGACACACTGTGGTAGGGAATGTATGGGGTCAGTTGATATGAAGTTATGATATGAAGACAAATAAAATGAAGTCTTGCCAATCAAGAGCTTGCAGGTGTAAGCTGGTCACACCCAGATACCCCTTTACACCACACACCACCTTGAGTTCTACCCTCCTATGTCTGCTAGTTCTCCTTTTTCTCATTATTAGTACTTTGAAATTTTCAGCATTACTACCCACCACCCACCTTTCCCATTTCCGTCATCTAGTAAGGGATGTTGTAAGTGATACTAAAGTGAGTTTGGACAGCAAACTTACTCGAATAGGCATCCCCTCTGGCACTGTGAGAAGCCTCTGATGCATGTAAATGCACAACATGGCCCACACGCCCAGCCCAAGTCATGTACCGTGGGACCTCCCCTCACCCCCATGGCACTGAACTTTGGACTACAGGTGTACACAACAATCACGACCATGTGATACATATACTAAAATTGGAACAATACAGAGAAGATTAGCATGGCCCTTGCTCAAGGATGACACAGAAATTTGTAGTGTTCCATATTGAAAAAAAAAAAAAAAAGAATATAGACCAGGAGAAAGGACGCTTTCAGGCCCTGCAGGGGGGAATTCCGAGGGCCAGTTCCTAGAGCAGAATTTACAATGGGGTGGGGGAAGAGTTCTCAGTGAGCACACCTTCAGCCCTGCAGATACCCCACTGGCAAGGAGAAGCACAGTCAGAAGAGGGCCATAGCCTCTTAAAGTGTAGCAGCTGGGGCAGGAGTCCCACTTGCCTGAGTTCAAAGGTGACGCTGATTGCACTGGCCCCCATCCTCCATTCTTGGACTCCATTAATGTTTCATCCACATTCTACCCAGAGTGATCCATCTGAAACACGGATGTGACTTATCTCTTCCGTCTTAAACTTATACATGTCTCCTCATCACTTACGAAGTCCAGACTCCTTAGTAAAGCATATGAGGGTTGCCATGGTCTACCCACTTCACACTCATGTCTTGTTCTCATACTTTATGCTCTATCCATGCAAACCTCCCTACATCTTTCCTTCTGTTACTGCCCCTGCCTAGAATGCCCTTCAGCCCCTTCTCTGCTTAGCTTTTCTTTTTCTTTTCTTTTCTTTTCTTTTCTTTTTCTTTTCTTTACTTATTAAGGGTTTGCTCTGATAGACCTTCTAAAAGCTTTTGCTGACCTCCCTGCTGGCTAACTGTTCTCTCTTTCCACACCATGGTGCACACTTCTGTGATAAGCCTCGCTATTTTGTGTTAAAATGAAAATCTTTGAACTTTTTGTCACTATATTTATTTTATTTTATTTATTTATTTGAGAGAGAGAGAGCACAAGCAGGGGGAGCAGGAGAGGGCAGGACTCGATCCCAGAACCCTGGAATCATGACCTGAGCCGAAGGCAGACTAACTGACTGAGCCACCCACGCGCTACTGTCACTATATTTCAACACCTACTACTTAGTATTTTATTTAGTTTTGCAATTCCGTTTGTGGAACAGTGCCTGGTATGTGTTAGGTGCTCAGAAAATCTCTGAACGGCACTGATGGTGACGTGCAGGCGGCCTGCACCTTAGCCTCACGTAAAGCCAATTAACCTTCTGTTCCTTGCTTCAGTCAGTGGCCTAAAAGTAATGTATCAGTTTGCTCATAGTCTCTGGTTACTTAAGGCCACTCGATGTAACATAATTGATGTACACACATGATCACATTGCTTTCCTGGCTCTAGACAATGTGGATCCATTGCATTTTTTATCAGGGCTACTGCCAAGGAGGGGCTTCTAGTACGGTTTTCCGAGTGCCGCTGCTCAATACGTTTACTTTAAGTAAAAGGCTGTGTGTCAGTGTATGCTGAACAAAATTTGATACTAAAAGTCAAAATGTAATCCTGACACTTCAGATATTTCACTCTGTCAGAATCATGTATTCCTATTTCCCAAGTATGCCACCTGACTTCTAGGCTCCTTCCATTTGGCATCATTTCCCCCTGGAATGCAGAGCAATGCCCTCTGCTTTGCTCTCTTAGCAGAAGGGTATGTCTCAGTATCACACTCAAGGTCCATTTCCTCCTTAACATCTCTGCCCTGCTTTCACCAACTCTGAACTCTGGCAGTATGGGCTTTTTCTAGCACAATGTGATATGTAATGTGTGAGGACTTTACTGTAATTTTTGCTTCGCATATATGTTCTAGATCTTATTTCTATACATTGGTCTCAAAGTTAGCATTCATGTTTTACACCATTTGTATCCAGAGCTCCAAATACACTACTCATTACTTAGTAGGTATTTCTAAGCTACCTGGTTGATAATGCTGAATTTAGAAAAATGGTAGATTTTTACTTTTTTTAAATAAGTTATTTAACATGTTTTACTCTTACTTATTAAAGTAAGTAATTGGCAGTTTTATTAATGTAAAATATGTTGGAATTTTTTTAAAGAAATTTTTTGTCCAGAACCACCAGAAATTAGCAATGGATTCATTCTGGATCCACGGAACACTTATGTGTATCAACAGACTATAAAATATAGATGTAATGAAAGCTTCACCCTGATCGGAAAGAACTCTATTTATTGTACTGTTAGAGGTGACCAAGGAGAATGGAGTGGCCCGCCACCTGAGTGCAAAGGTATTGAGTTTGCATTGTTGTATTTTTGTTTTATTTATACCTTTAGGTCTATATATGGGCTACAGAGATTCTATGAACTCCCTGAGAAATGAATGGAAAATGTGGTACATATGCATATTTTTATTTTTCTGGGGGGCGCAATTTTTCATCAGATTATCAGAGGGGTCTATGACTTCCAAGGAAGGAGGAAACACTGATATGGAGAATATATGGTAATGTATGAATAAATAAATAAATGCATACACACACACAGCGTATAGCACACACACATACACGTAACTCACAGCGTATAGCACACACACACGTAAACGTAACATGTCTCACGTTTTTAGTGAGTCAGCTTGCATTTGCTATTTCTTACCATATCACCTTCAATAAGTTAATATTAATACGAAAGTAAATAAAATGGTTTATTTTCTTCAGTTGGGAGGGAACCTTAGACTAAACTGAGGGATCTAGATAGTGATCCCAGTAGGCGGTATTTAAGCAATGTGATATGTGATGCCAGGGTGACTTGAGCTCCCTTTATAATTATACTTGGAATTATGTTAGCATGAATTTTTAAATATCAGTGTTGGTTGAAAACAGTTATTTGTTATAAGTGGCATACATCAACAGGGAAGTAATATTAAAACCATGCAGAGGGGTATAAAATGTAAAGTAAAAATCTCTCTGTCCCTAGTCCTTCTCTCAGAAGTAACCATCGTTCACAAATGTTTGCATTTGATTCTAGAAAATAAACATACATACACATATTTATATTTTTAATCATAGCAGTTGTATGAATATATCATTTATTTAACCTATTGAGGGAAATTTAGTTTTTGATTCTAGTTTGTGTTTTTTTTAATTATTATTATCTTTTGTAATAAAAGATGCTGCAACAAATATTGGGCATCTGGAATTGCACAAGTGTGCAAGTGCATTTTGTACAGTAAATTCTTTGCAGGGTAGTTACTGGAACAAAGGTACATGCATTAAACTTTTGACAGACGTCACCAACATTGTTTCCAAAGAAACTGTAACAGTTCACTGTCCCAGCAATAGTGCTTCACTGTGCTGGCTCTCTGCACCCCTAATGATAATGGTTATTATGATGTGGAGATGTGACAACTGCGTGGTGAAAATTTCATTATATTGTCTGAATTAATTTAATTATGGGAGAAATTTGATATGTGTTTGCTTCTTAATCTGGCTATGTGATACACTTCATATTTATTTTCCCCTGTTTTATTAAATTATCAGTTATTTAGAGCTTACAAATCTAGGGTAGTGCCCAAGTAGGCCATGGTAGGCCAATATTTCCTTTATAATAACTACAAAATCTGGAGAGATTTTTTTTTTAAGTCATATTTTGAAAGGCATGAGATACAAGGGTAGGAAAAACCAGGACTAAATGAACTAGAATTCCTGGGGGTGGAGACTGAAGGCAAGCCACCCTGAGGTGCACCTGGGCTGGGGGTCCATCGTGACCCGCTTAAAAGACCACTGCCAGGAAAGAGAGAAACTGGCCAAGCTTTTAGCGGTTGTGGTGGCTAGAAAAACATACTGAAAATTGAGGTCCTCAATGCAGAGCCAGTTTTTCCCAAGGGCCATTTGCTGATTTCTTGGGCTGCAGGGGAGACTAGGGGTTAGACCCAAAGCTTCCAAAGTACAAAATACAGTCTCTCAGATCCTTCTGGTATTTGGGCAACAAATATCAGAGGAAGAAGCTTGGATCAAGCATACACTCCTGTCCCCCTTAACACATTTGTGCCCATTTTGAAGCTGTGTGGGGAAGGAGGCTAGATTGCTGGGCTGGGGACTCCTGAAGGGCAGACCTGCGTCTCCCACAGTTTCTCAGGGCTGAGGAAACAAAGATTCCCGGGCTGTCGAGGAAAACCCCAGAGGGACAACTCCCAAGGAACAGAGGCAAGAGTAGAAGTAGACTGAGTTTTCCTAAGGCTGAGACCCAGCTCAGTCCCTCCTGGGCTGAGGATGTGATCACCTCCAACCAGTCTGCCTATCAGAAAAAGGGACTCTCTTGGAAGATCATACCATCTGACTGTTTTATATACAATGTCTGTAATACAATAAAAGAGTTACTAGAAATGGAGAGAAGTAAGAAATTATAACCAAATCAGGGGAAAATAAATCCAGATAAAGGAGATCCAGATAATTGAGTTAGCAGATGAGGACTTTAAAATCAGTGGTTAATATGTTTAAGGTATTAAAGGAAAAAAGAAATAGAGAATTTCAACAAAGAACTGGAATCTATAAAAATAAAGTAGACGTTCTACAACTTTTGAGAAATATACAATCTGAAATGAAGAGCACAATAGGTTTAACAGTGATATGGACACAGTATTAGGAACAAGAAGGAAGATTCATTAATAATGCCCAGAAGCACAAAGCGGTGGGGGAGGGGGGGCATGTAAAATATAGGTAAAACTTCAGGAGATATTTGAGACCTGTTAAACTGTCCTAACATAGGTTAGCTAAGAGGAGAGACAGAAAGAGAAGCAGAAGTATCCAAAGAGATGACAGAATGCTCCAAAACTGATGAAATACATCAACACATTCCAAAGGTTCTCAGGACTCTTAGCAGAATAAAAATAAAACCACTTCCCGGCATGTCATGGCAAAAATTTTGGCAACTCAAAACAATGATAAAAGCATCAAGAGACAAAAAGACAACATTATCTTCAAAGGAGCAACACTAATACCTGATCACAAACTTCTCAACAAAAATTATGGAATCCAAAGACAATGAGAAGAAATCCTTCAAGTTAAGGATAAGAAAATGACTGCTCACCTAGGAGTCTTTACCCAATGAATATATGCTTTAAGACTGAATGCCAAATGAAGATGTTCTCAGGCGAAAACTACGGGAACTTGTCACCAGAAGACCAGACCTGCACAGAACAACAAAGTAAAAGCATTCCTTCAAGTAGAATGAAAATAATCCCAAGTAAAACATGAAAATGCAAGAGGAAATGAAGAACACTAGCAAAGGTACATGAATAGGTACTGTACAAAATGATAAATGCATTGTCTTCTAGGGTTTGATGTGTATGTCGAATCCAAGTGTATAATAGCAACAGAGCAACAGGCAATAAGAGGTAAATTGCATTTAAAAGTTACAAGGTTCTGGCAATACTAAAAAGTTGTAAAAATGTTAATTTGCATAACTGACTTATAGTCTAATACATACGGTAATCTCTAGGGCCGCCATGAAAATAATAGTGAAAGAAAGTATAAATCATAAGTAACAAAGGAATGATAATGAACACTTCATCCCAAAGGAAACAAGAGAGGAAGGGAAACAAAATATATGGGTGGAAAAGCAAACTGATAGTAAGGTGTTTGCTATAAACCCAACTCTATCAGTAATTACACAGAGTGTAATTTAAGTAAGATTGTCAGACTGATTAAAAAAAACCTATTTGCTATTTACAAGAGACACAATTTAATGATAAGAACACTGAATGGTAAAAAGTAAAGGATGGAAAAATATATTTTGCAAACAATTACCAAAAAAAAAAAAAAGCTAGTGAAGTTCTATTAATATCAAAGAATACTTTAAGAGACAACAGTTCATAATGATAAATGGGATCCATTCAACAGGAATCTATCACAATCTGCGATCTATGAGCACTGGAGAAAAAAAGCTTCAATCCACATGTAGCAAAAAACGGACAGAAAGAAAAATAGAGAAATCCATGATTAGAGTTTGAGTATTCTACACACCTATTTCAATAGCTGTTAGAATAAGCAACCAAAAATCCATAAGAGTATAGAAGCAACAGTTAAACTTTTTTTAAAAAAAAATTGACATATTAAGAGCATTGAACCCTATAAGGACAGATGGAAGAAGTTTTTTCAAGTGTGCATGGGACATCGCCCATAGGCTGGGCTCCAAATCACCGTGTAGTTCAGAAGATTGAGATAATCTGGAGCGTGCTGATGGCCATGGAATTGAACTAGACATCAAACAACAAAAAGGCAATGAGAAAAGCAATTTCCAGGACACTTACACTATACTAGCATGTAGGTCTTCTGGCTCGAAAATGAGAACTAACATGGTTGGACAAAGAATAAGATTTATATATGAGCACCTTAGAGGAAAAGTCCATACAAAATCTTACCCTAACAATACCATCTACCACTTTTTGAGGGCATCAGTCCTACTCTACTGGCTAGGGCTTCTCCGCGAGCTGTCTGGTCCCCACCGTCCTCTGAGGTAGATCACAGGAAGCAGAAATAAATGATGCTGGGTGTCTGAGTGAGTGCAGCAGGATGTGTGTGCTGGTGGAGCAGGCAGCTGCTCACCAGAATGGTAAAATGTGTTCCTTCAGAGACAGGCATTGTGTGAAATAACTTCCCTAAATTATTTCTCTCATTCCTTACAAGAATGTTCTCAAATCTGCTGTTTTTATCCTCACTGTACAGATGAGAAAATCGCAGCTTAGCAGGATTAAAGAAGTTGCCCACAGTCTCCAGTGTGTGGTGAAGCAGGCAGCCCTTCTCCATGCTGCCTTAGGTGGGAGTGTGTAAGCGGCCCAAAGGCCGACAGGCACTGAAGACCTAAAACTGTACAAAGTGGTTAGAGCTGTGATTCTCAGAATAGGATCTTAATCAAGGTTGCAATTCAGATATTTGTTACCTGATCTGCAATCCAAAGAGGGACTAAACTAATATGTGTAACGTTGGTAACCAGCACAAGAGGAAAAAAGAGTTATTTATTTTTTTTTTCAGATTGACTGTATTACTTTTAAGAAGGAGTAAAACAGAACAAGTTCCCAAGGTGACGAACATGTCCTGAAAGCATCGAGAAAAGGAACTATGTTGTGATTATCTCTGTCTGTCCAGTGGTTCTGTCTGGGTCTTTGGTCTTGGCATGAGCAAAGGAAAACATTTTGTGAGAGAAAATATCTTAACTTGGGGTGTGTCACAGAATGAGATCACTACCAACTCGGACTTTGGTTTCTTTTCTTTACATGGAAAACAGTTTAAGAACCTCAGTACTACTCTGGTGTAAACCCACTTTAGTTGGCTACAGGCATAATTTAGATCAAAGCAAAAACATGCAGCATTTCAGTTCCTTGGGAAAATCATAATTAGACTTGGTCTCTTAAAAGTCATATTCATATTTAGGTGTTTGTGGGAGAGAAAGAGAGAATTCATAGAGCAAGCAATTTGTTCCTAAGTCTTAACTTGACAGCATTATTTAGCTAATATTTTTTAACATTTTTCTTCTATATAAGGTTCTCAGATTCCTAAGGTCACACCACCAGCTCAGAAATCCACCACAGTAATTGGATCAGCTACAAAGCCCACATCAACTCCTCAGAAACCTACCACAGCAAATGTTCCAAGTACCAAAGCTACATCAACTCAGAAACCCAGTACAGCAAATGTTTCAGGTACCAAAGTCCCATCAACTCCTCAGAAACCCGACACAATAAATTCTTCAGCTGCGGAAGGCCTACCAACTCCTCAGAAACCCACCACAGTACATGTTTCAGCTACAAAGACCCCATCAACTCCTCAGAAACCTGACACAATAAATTCTTCAGCTGCAGAAGCCATACCAACTCCTCAGAAACCCACCACAGTACATGTTTCAGCTACAAAGACCCCATCAACTCCTCAGAAACCCACCAGAGCAAAAGATTCAGCCACAGCCAAAAAATCCCCCATATCAAATGCTCTATCTACAGAGACCCCATCAGCAGCCCAGAATCCCATCATGGCAAATGCGTCTGCTACACAGGCCATGCCAGTAACCCATAGATCCACCACAGCGAAAGCTTCATTTACACGGAGTCTTCCAGCAACACGAAAGTCCACTATTATCCATGCCCCAGTGACTAAGGGTCTCCATACAACAAAAAGATTGACCTCTGCTCATATTACAGCAAAACAGAGTTCCGCTACTCCCAAGACAACCAGCACACCTAATGGAAAAGGGACCGTCTCCTCAGGTGAGTTGACACTGCTCAGGTTTTCCTGAGTAGGGATCGGAGGTGCTATGGTGGGAAGAGTTTTTCGTACTAACACGCTCTTGACTTTCTTCAGAGGCAGACTGGGAGTATGCTAGGGTGAAACATTTTGCAATAATGTAGAAGAAGATTGGGGCTCCATGAAAACAATGCTAAGTTAAGCTTGGCAAAGAAATTCTGTTTTTTTATATGAGATTTAGGTAGTCCTTGGATTCTTCAAGACCCTTCAGGGAACCAAATATATGTACCATCCTTACGGCCATTTTTGGGGTCTGGTTTATTGATAGAGACCCATCCCTTAAGCATGCTGAAGGATCTCTCCAGATTCCATAGAGTTGCTTATTTGGCAAAGCAGTGTCTTCTAAGTAATTGAAAAGACAGAATTCTTTGAAATGGTCCATATTTACACAAGGGTCTTTAAATGACAATTTTTGTAAAAGTGGAGTAAAATATGTTGTAGACTTGAAAAATACATGTAGAGTGAATGAATGAAACCCTTCTTACTAGTTACTGCTAAGCTTCGGGCTACCAGGATGTCCCCTTGTCCATTAACTTACCTAATGGATAGCCAAAATTTTTATAGATACTCTTTTTTTTTTAAAAGATTTTATTTATTTATTTGAGAGAGAGAGAATGAGAGATAGCGCGAGAGGGAAGAGGGTCAGAGGGAGAAGCAGACTCCCTGCTGAGCAGGGAGCCCGATGCGGGACTCGATCCCGGGACTCCAGGATCATGACCTGAGCCGAAGGCAGTCGCTTAACCAACTGAGCCACCCAGGTGCCCTTTTATAGATACTCTTATTCTCTATTAGAGATAACTATTTTTTTTCAGTTCCTTGGAAAATCTCAACAGGACTGTGAGCCAAGAGATAATTTTTTAAATTGTTTTAACTTTTTAATTGAACTCAACACACACCCACACACCCACACACGCCCACACTCACACTGCATAAAACACCCATGTATGGCTCAATAACTTTTCTAAAGCAAATATTTGTGTAACCACTACCAACGTCAAGAAATAAAATATTAGCAGCCCCCCAAATTTGCCCCCCCAAGTTCCAGATGCTCTGTCAGTGGTCCTGAACTTCATACTCTGACTAATCCTCCTACTTGGCCAGTACAACCCTGGCATTTTCTCCCTATACCGCATGGCCTAGGGTCTTCCCTCACTGCAAATATGCAAACCTCATTCCATACTGTTCTCCCTCTCCGGCTTTGACCCATTTCTGCCTGTCTTAGTTTGCCAGCCAGTGCCTTCAAATCATTGTTATGATTGCTTTTCCATATTTTGTCCAGATTTCATAATTGCTGTGATGAAGTCTGTTTTGCCATCATCACAGATAATTTTTAAGAGCTTGAAACTTTACAGGTATCCCTGTTGAAATTTCCTTTGATATTCCATGATTCCTTTCTGTAAAAAGCCAAATACATGCACATGCACAAAATCTTAACCCATTCCTGCCCGTTTTTGGTCATCCTTTGATGGTATCAAATAATCCTGGGTTTTTTTTTTTTTAAATAGTTTGACGCGTTGTGACCATATTTTCATAATGATTTCATATATTTCACAGTTGTTATCTTGAAGCCTTTTTTGCCCTTACCTGGCTATTTTTAAGAATTTGAATATTATAGATATTATGTGTTGTGCCATTTCCGTTTCTCTCCCTCTGAGGCACTGACTGCCCTGAGCTTGGTGTTTAAGCATCCTATCTATGTTTTAATTCTTAAACTTGCACACGTGTATCCATTAGTAGTACATGATATTGTTTTGTTTGGGTTTTTTTTTTTTTTTTTGTAATTTACATCAGCAGTATCTTGTATATTTCCTTATCTACCTTGGCTTTTGGCACTCCACATCAGTTTTATAGCTTGTGTTCACACATTTAGGTCTAGTTCATTACTTTTAACACTTGTAGGAGTTTACTGACTTCTTCAATTTTCATGACCTCTCTGGGCCTAAAAGTTTTAGGTTGAATACATCTGATTTTTCACAGAGCAAGGCAATGAGAAAGAAGTCTCACCTCACCAATATAAATTTGTTAGAGCACTAACTTTGTTGAAATATTTCTTTCTGTAAAAAAAAATACAAGGTAATTTAACAAATTTAAACGAAACCTGAAAAAAAACATGAACTAAACCCGAGTCAATAATTATGATGAAAATACAACCAGTATTTGGGGTCAAATTTCTCTCTTTTATGCAATTAACTTATTCCTCAGATATCATATACCATTTTTTGCTCATATTGAAAAAGAAAGGAGTCATTGCCTCTTGCTGGGTATGCACTATAGTTGTATGCACCGTGCACTTCCCCTCTTTGGACATGAGTCCTTGGGACAACCTTGCAACATAAGCCTTTTCAGCTTCATTTTATAGGTGATGAACTAGAGGCTTAGAGATTAATTTGTATGAATCATATGGTACCCAGTTAATAGGGAGAAAGTTGGGAGTTAAACACCTATTTGCTGACTCTAAATCCTGTGCTTTCTTCTGCTGTGTAATGTCGCTTGTTCTTAGTGGTATTTTGAATAAATCCATTTAGTCTACGGCCATACCACCCTGAACGTGCCCGATCTTGTCTGAATAAATCCACTTACTACTTAGGAGAGCAGCATATTATTATAAATATATTTATTTGAAAATAATTGTTGCAGTACCACATTCATAGTCCTTGAAAGGTAAAAAATTAAGTAATTTGAGCTTTTGATAGAGTCTGCTGAGAAAGACTTCAGTTTCTGATAGTCTCTTGGTCATAGGCTTGGATCACAGTTATTTACTATATAAGCTTTCAAATTTGATTCTTGCCATCAAGTCATATAGTTGAATTATATGGTGTTTGTTTCAATATTCACTCACTCTTTATCATGTTTCATGTTTATAGTGTTGACTCTGTTGAATAGATATAGGCACTGGTGTATATGTTTCTTGATTAAGTTAATATACAACAGTTTTCATTAATTTATTTATAATTATTTCTTTTAGTTATGAAAATCTGAGTTACTTTTGAACTTTCAAGTACATTCTGTGGATATATATGTTAAATTGCTGGCAAATCAGTGGCTTTACATTTTTTTTTTTTTTTGTAATTCTTTTTTTCTCTTCTTTTCTTCAGATGCTGCCATCATTGCAATTGGTAAGTTTGGTTCTTCGGCAGTTAAAAAAAATTGTCATCACTGTGGGATGTACAATCCACATTCCTGGAAGAGAATATTGTCTTTTTACTGTCTTAGGAATACTATTAAAATGAAATGTTTAAGGGTGTCAAGGAGAAGACAGGTAAATGCAGTTTATCGACGTGTTTGGTGGACACCAATAGGTACTCGGTATGTTCCTAGGTATTCCCAACCACGTTCTTGTAACAGGGTAATTTTAGGGCAACTTCAAATCATTTGGCCAGTCAATCAAGTATCCTTGAATGCCTATTGTCTCAATGCATCATCATTTTAGGGGCCAAAAACAACAAGAAGGAGGCTGTTGTCAATACAGTTTTTAAGCCTCAAGAATTATATATAAGTACTCACAAACTACTCCTTGACTGTTTCTAGACTTCTATTCCAAATAAACCAGAATGCTACCTTTGATTACATTCTCTTCCTTTTCCCTTCCCTGTCAGTGATTTAAAGCAAAAATAGCTTTAAAATTATTCTGTTGCTATAGACATAAGGACATACCTGTGTTGCAATTTCTTCTGGCCTTTATTCCAGTATTTTTTTGTTGTTCATAAATATATTATTTGATGTTATACATTTTAACAAGAAGATTGATCACTCCTAAAGAAGATGATAAAAGAAATGTTTAAGAAGCAATACAGCTATGTAGGGCGCCTGGGTGGCTCAGTTGGTTAAGAAGCAATACAGCTATGTAATGTATGGTGATTAACATAACATAATAAAATAAAATTTAAAAAAAGCAATACAGCTAAGTTGGCATATTAATAAGGAATGCCCAACAGAAAATATACACTTATAAAAAAAGTGAGTATTTTAAAATTATGTCCTTATAAGCTAAGGTCTCCTATCTATGTATGCATGAATGAGACAAGGGACTGATGCTGAAAGTAGGTATTTTATTATTATTATTATTATTATTATTATTTATAGTTCTTTTATATTTTGAATGAACCTCTCTTTAGCTAAAATACTTATCTTGAAAGATTTGAACAGTTGGAATTCACTTTGTTTGTTTGATATTTTAAATAGAAATAAATGTATTCTAAAGGAAAACTTCATGATTTCATCATTTAATGTTAACAGTGATGAGTTTAGTGGATGGGCTTTTTCTCACCTGCTCAGTGGCATCCAATGAAGGTTTGAGGGGCTTATTTTCTCTGAAATTCTTGAAGTACGTACTATGTGCTTTTCCAGAAACTTTCCCTTAGGGTTAGATGTAATTCCAACTTGTGCTGAAAAATAAAGAGGAGCTCTTTCCCTCTTAAATCAGACATATGGCAATATTTTTCTTTGGGATCTTACACTTGTAAAATATAAACCTAAAAATTATCTTTATTTCTTCAATTTACTCTGTGAATCGGGTCACTTTTCTCATCTTTATTTTATCAGTTTTTTAAAAATTTGACTGTAGTTGATACACAGTGTTACATCAGTTTCAGGTATACAACATAGTAATTGGACAAGTGTATATACATTATGCTGTGCCCACCCCAAGCGCAGCTGCTGTCTGTCACTATACAAAGCTATTATAATGTCATCGACTAAATTCCTTATGCTGTGCCTTTTATTCCTGCCACTTTTCTTATTTTAAAGATAAGCAAACCCTACTTACAAGGAAATTGCTTTTCTTGATTACACTGCAGTGTTAATGAGTGATATAGATGATACTAGAACTTTGGAAGTATTTGAATTTTTTCCTATTTAATTCTGCTAAAAAAGAGAGACTGACTAATCTCAGCACTTCCTTATTTGCCATGTAAGTGAAGACTTTATTGTGAGGTCCAAAGCTATTCTGCTGGCTCTGTATTGGTGTTTCTCCAAAACCTCTTTTTCATTATTGCCCTCTCCCCCTCAAGGCACTTTTTAGACATTTTCCTCATCACCCTCCGTCTGTGAAATTTTACTACCACAGAAAATACTGTAAATCTATTTATATCCTCTATGTGTATCTATACTTTATACATAAAAAAGTAAGATTTTTTTTCACCCTTTTGGGATAATACCCCTCATTGAGAATACATGCTCTACATAGTTGTTTTGTTTCTGTTTTTGTTTTTTTATGCAACATTGTAAAGAAGACAGGCTTCTGATTTGGAGTCAGCCAGATCTTCGTCTGAATCCTGTTGTTTTTTTGTTTTTTTGTTTTAATTTAGTAATTATTCAACCCAAGTGATTGAACTTAATCTTTCTGAGTCCCAGTTTTCTCATTTTTGATTCCTGTTTAAAGTCTTTGAAGCTTAATGAGATAATAGATATGAAAACTCCAGCACAGTGCTAACCGTTGAATAAATATTAACTTAAAGCAGTCATGCAGTGCAGTCGCTGTTATTTTCCTAAAATGGGTTTCTCTCTTTCTTTTTTTTTTTTTTAAGATTATTTATTTATTTATTTGACCGAGAGGGACAGCGAGAGAGGGAACACAAGCAGGGGGAGTGGGAGAGGTCGTAGCAGGCTTCCGGCCGAGCAGGGAGCCCAATGCAGGGCTCGATCCCAGGACCCTGGGATCATGACCTGAGCCGAAGGCAGACGCTTAACGACTGAGCCACCCAGGCGCCCCCTGAAATGGGTTTCTGACGGTTTTATCATTCCCTCAGGCCACACCAAAGAGTAAGAACAGTCCTTTATTAAGGTAATATTTGCATTTTTGCTGTGTGGCAAGTACTCTACTGAAATTTTTATATTTTTATTTTACTTTTCAAAACATCTTATAATGTATCTATGTCCCATTTTTAATTTTTTTAATTTTTTAATTTTTCTTTTAAGATTTTATTTATTTGACAGAGAGAGCGCGCACAAGCAGGGGGAGCAGCAGAGGGAGAAGCAGGCTCCCCGCTGAGCAGAGAGTCTGACTCAAACTCTGGGCTCCATCCTAGGCCCCTGGGATCGTGACCTGAGCAGGAGGCAGCTCCTTAACTGACTGAACCACCTAGGAGCCCCTCTATGTCCCATTTTTTATCTGAAAGAATGATTTTTGCAAGATTTGTAACTTGCCCAAGGGCACACATCTCTTAGGCGCTTCAACAGAGGCAGAGGACTCGTTTCTCCAGCACTTGAAAGGATAGATTCTTGTCCTATGTGCAAATCTGCACAACTCAAATTTGACAATTAATGTAGTCCTGATTCTTTACTTCCCCCCCCCATTGCTGAAATCCTATATCGTGATGTTCATAAATCTCTTATGGGGATTAATAGGTCAGTTGAAGGAATATTTAAGAAAAAATTAGAGACTACTCAGTGACATATCTAAAATGCTTTTTCTGTATCCTTCAAAGATCACATGCTGATTAACTTTGGCTTTGTACATCCACCTGCATATGGCATATGGTATAGACTAGCCCAAATGGAGGCATACTTTCAAGAGTCTTGAATCATCAGTAGTACTTTGAAATGCATCAGATGCTATATCAGGTCTTCACTGTGTCTTATTACCTTCTCTCTGTAAGATGAACTTACATCCCATTATAAGTAACTTCAATTATCTACAAGTTATTCAAAGTTAAGAAATCAGACAACATAATCATCTAATTTTTCATTGATCTGCTTAGGCTGGCAAGAGAAGCATTTGAATTTCCCGCACCTAAAAAATTCCCTCACACAAAGAAAATCCAGTGATAATAACAAAACCCTTCAAGGGTCCTATGGATGTTGCCGAGGAAGTGGGGTTGAATTCTGATTTGTAAATCTGAAAATTTAAGGTTTACTGAAGCACATTCTTTTTCCTTCTATAAAAGCCTCTTTCCGGTGTGACTTCACCTGTCCACAGACCTCAGTTCCTTTATTCTGTTATGTTAAATAAGATTATAAGGAAGAACAACCTATTAACAACTTTTTTAGTTTTTAGTTTTTTTAGTTTGCAGTCTCTGCACACATTCTTCTAGAATTATGTATATGTGCTGATCATTGTTCTAAGAATAAGATTTTGGTTCAGCCGTCTAGATGCTCTGGATCACTTTAAAATTTTCTATCTTCATTTATCATTCAAATTGAAAATGGGATGGTTTTACAACCATTGAAAATGGTGAGGCTAATGGAAGTGGTGAAGGGAAAAGAAACCCCAAATTTTTGAGGAGCCATGATTTATTTGATGAATACAATCTTTCCAAGCTAACGATATGGTGCTAGGGGATCAGTTAAAGAAATTGATTGAGTAAAATACTGTAAAAACTTACCTGTGGTAGAAATAGCTGTTTTGTTCAATCATGTATTCATAGGACAGTGCAACTGTGTGACATGAGCGTTTGCTGATTGGTAACCAATTCGTGATTTGATCACATTACTTTCAGTTGCTTTCCTAGTGTCATCTGTAATTTCCTTTGCAATACAAATCAAAAGAATAGAGTTCAAGGACATTGCAGGTTGGAGTAGGAAGGAAAAGGGAGCCCAAGAATGGTATGGAGAAAGGGCGCATGGGTGGTTTGGAAGAAGAAAGATTGTGTGTGAAAATCAAACTATAAAAATTACTGTTGACCAACTTATTTGACCAATTACTTTTCTGTCATTCAACTCAAAGTAGTGCATTTAATCTCAAAATAGTGCTTTCCTAAATGAAATTGTATCGACAACAGATTAAACACTGAACAGCATATTCTGTAAGCAACATAAATATGTTTTAGCCTCCATGCACAGGTGATATCACCTTTCCTGTGATGGAGAAATGCCTATAGCTCTTAGCTTTACTAGGAACAAAGTAAATGGCCTTCCTATTAACCACATATGTAGCCCTCATCTCTCTGAGACTCAGTTTACTCATCTACACAAGATACCTTCTAGTGCTAACATTACATAATGCAGTCATCATGGTTTTTTTTTTAAGATTTTATTTGTTTGACAGAGAGAGAGAGAGAACAAGTAGGCAGAGAGACAGGCAGAAGGAGAGGGGGAAGCAGTCTCCCCGCTGAGCAGGGAGCCCAACGCGGGGCTCAATCCTAGGACCCTGGGATCATGACCTGAGCTGAAGGCAGCCGCTTAGCCGACTGAGCCACCCAGGCGCCCCTGCAGTCATCCTGTTTGAATGACCAATGATCAAAGCATTTAAAATTGAGCCTGGTGGGGTTGAAACCCTTCAGAAGCCTCTCCAATGGGTTAAACACATCTTATTTGAGTATGTGATACTTTAAATATTTGATTTTATTTTTCTTTGACCGAAAGGATAAATAGCATGCAATTTTTACTGTCAAACTTGTGACATAAGAAAGCCACACACAGAATAGAATTCACATCTCCTGTTTTTCTTTAACTTGGCTCATAACCGGTGTGTTTGTCATTGTAAAACTGCATTGTATATGTACTTGCTCATGCTTCTATTAACCGTGTTACCAAATTTTTTCCCCCTCAAGGACTTGTTGCTGGTACTGTAATTGGTACCCTAATTCTAGTCAAAATTTTCTGGCACTATGGAAAATCAGGGTGAGCAGAAATTCTGATGATTTAAAAAAATTTGTTCTTAGCTTCTTTCCAGTAAAACTTGACACTATATCAGAAGGTAACTTTCGTAGCTTAATTGTATTTTTTGACATTCTCTCTCTTTATTCTTTTCTCTGTCATTACTGCCCTGGGTAAACAGACTTTGTGTCTTTTTTCTTTTTTTTTTTAATTTTTCAGTAGATTCAAGGACATTAACATTTCAAAGGAAAGTGATTTGAAAGCCATTTTCTCACTTTGCAATCTATTAATCAACTCACCTTGTTTCCCTACTCAGTACAATTTCTGGCAGTATCTGTGTGTTTACACAGAAGCAAAAACCTGGGGAAAAATCAACCTCTAACAGACTTGGGAGGTTGCCTGTGATCAGGCCTTTTTCTGAGTTGGATTTATGAAAACATGCCAAAACAGCTAAAAACAGCCCCGTGGTTCAGAGGATAGACCCAGGAGCGTGACCCCTTGATTTGAATCATCCCGAGGCTGAAGTACATGCCATGGGGCAATGGGCAACTTCACTTCTCTGATGCTTCTTTTCTTATTTGTAAAGTGGGGGACGTGTATCACCTGTCTCAGGGGATTGTAGTAAGGATCAAATGAATTGCCCCCTGTAAAGAAGGTAGAATAGTGCTTGGCACATGGTAAGCCCTGGGATGGTAGAACAGCCGCACATAGGGAGAAAAATCAGTATTATTTGAAACATCTGATCTGCATTGAATGTGCATGTGTTAAGTATAATGTAATAGCTGGCTCTGACCTATCCTGTAGACAGAGGATTATTTAAATTGACCCTCCTTTGTTTTATAGATTTGGCTGTTCAGAAAACTTACTGTAGAGTTTATATAAACTTGAATTATTTTTCTAAACTGCCCTACTGCCTGTCTATTTTTTTTTCCCTTAATTAAAAACAACTCTAATGCTGTCACTAAATGGCCTGTTTTAATTTGGGGGGTGATGTGAGCTATCTACTTTTTACCCTCTGTAACTCTTACCTTTCTCCTTAAATTAACAATATTATTGAAGCCTATTATAAGCTAAACTATGTAAATGTTCTTTAAGTCACTAAATGGTTCAGTCTTTAAGTAAAATTATCTGACCACTGGGTCCTGTGAGCTTTTAAGTAGATATTTGCTTATTGCCAATAAAGTATTCTAGTTGCTTAATACCAAATGTAGTAAAATAGAAGTTCAGGTGTTTCAGAAACTTTTTAAGAATGTGGTTTAGAGTCCACCAAAAATGAACAGAATTCAAAGTCATATAAAGTGAGTTAAGTTGGTACAGATGCTTGAGCAAAACTACTGTGGAAGAAAAGTAAACCACCCACCCTACCTACTTCCTTGCCCTTGTTCCGGCTCTCCTTTTGAGTTAGAGCATTGTGGGTTTACCTTGCAAAGCCAATGCTTTGGGGCCTGGCAGGTAAGAGGGGTAGGGAAGGAGTGTGGAGTTCACTGGGAACTCTCTGGGCAGCTTCAGTTTCTTTGCATACTTTTCAGGAAAATAATTGGCCATGTTGGTTTCAGTGGGATGCAAAGTGCTGAAACGTAGAAGGAGGGAATATTTGTTTTGAATTTTATTGGGGTTTTGCAGTAAACCAAATTCCTCTATTTCTGAATCAGAGGAAACTTGTGCAAACCCCTACGAAAGAATTTGCCTTTTTCATGTGCACTTAAAAACCACTCCACTTGCCTTGTTTTGGAAGTAAAAGCTGTTGAAGGTTAAGAGCTAACTTTGTACATTCCTGGTTATGCTCCTGATTTCATACCGATTTAATTAAAAATTGGATCTTGAATAGGGACAGGGAAAAGAGTTAATGAGTGTGAAGGTGATTGTGTCCCTTCACCTGGTGATCCTTTGTGTTTGCCTATCAAAGGATTTACTTACCTCTTTTAGAAATGTAGTTCCCATAAGTTTTTAGTTAAAAGGGATGTGATTGTAAGGAAATGCTGATACTGCTTTTCGGTTGAAATTAAAATTATATGATTCAATTTATGTTTTCCTTCTCTACTATTCAGCTCTTATTACACTCATGAAAACAACAAAGCACCCCATGTTATGTTTCGTAATTTGACTGGTGACCCCTCAGAAGTAAGACCTTGTGGTAAATCGTAAAAGGTATATGGTTTTATGAAGTCACATTTCTGTGTCTTGTAAAATGTCCATCAGTACCACTCGGGCAGGATTTATCCATGACTGTTCAAGGATAATAGGGGCTCAGACCTCTATTATCTTGTCAGACTGGTTTTTCTTTCTTGAGTGACTAACATATTGGATCTCTCATTAGCATGACATGTCATCTATTCTCCACTCATCATCTCATCTTGTGTTTTGCAATCAGTTTATTGAAATGATTGGATGCTAGCAATGCCACAAATATTTGGGGGGAAAAGCCAAAAGGTAGATACATTAGGGCTTACAAATAGGAATGCCTTCGTTATGACTGTTTGCATCATGAGATGATTGGCTTATATGGTATTTGTTTCTCCTTTTTGCTTGATGGCTTTTAGAGTTTCCAGTGTTTGGAAATATTAAGATTTGTTTTATGGTATCTTTTTAAGTCATGCTTATAGATCTTATATCTCTTTTATGTTATACAAAATTATGACAAAAATAACTTAATATAAATGCATCTGTGAAACGTTCTGGGTGTCTTCTTCGAGGTGTCTTTTGATGAAATTTTTCTCTAATGCACGTGTCAGGGGTTTCCTTTGACTTTTAATCTGGAAGTATCTTAATCAATTCTAACTCGGCTACTTAATTTCAAGAAACTAAAAAACTCAAGTGTCATATTTTAGTTGGTGTTGCTATAGCTATTAAACTCTAAAGTCCACAGTGAGGTTAGATAACTTACTAATTTTGCATTTGTTTTGCATGCCACATTAACCGATTAATTTTCATTGTTTATCTCATAGTAACCAAAAGATTAATGTGTATCATCAGTCAATAAAATTATTTTGATGTTAACTTTCTTTTTTAACTTTCAGGACACACATGTATAACACTGACAGTCTTGTGTATGATGCTAGTAACCATTGGCTAGCTGATTTAGCCGAAGAAGAGCTAAGAAGAAAGTGCACATGAGTATGCAGAATATTTCTAGTTCTTAGACTTTCTGGAGGAGTGGACAAAATAAATGTAATAGTGCTCTTCGTTTTGCCTACTATCATTGTCTTTAAGGTGCATAGGAAAATCAATGAAGCAAGGAGAAGCGAGTCTGTCCTGGGACACTCCCAAACCTCTTGAAAATAGAACAACTTGCAAGATTTAGAGTGATTACTTTCCTCGAAGTGTAGGAAAGTGTAGAGGTTTGTTCATACTTAGAACATGAGCATGAAGAAAAGGAAATGTGTGATTTTTTTTTTCACTAGATGTGTAAAGTTACCTTTGTTTACAAAAAAAAAATAAAAGTTAAACACAGTAATTGGATACTGGAAAGAAACAAAAAACCTAAAATCAGTCTCTTCTGAGCAAACTTGCCAAAGAGAGATGGACCGTATTATAAAATAACCCTTGACTGTAAGGCATTTTCTTCTTTTCTCATTCCATTAAAATGAGTCTGAATGGGTTAGCAAAATATTTTAAAGGAAAAACATGCTTATGACTCAAGAGCGTTGATTTTCTTGGGTTAGCTGGTGGCAAAGGAGAAATATAGAATGAAGGAATAACTCTTCCTTTTTGTCACACAAGTACAGGTACCCAATCTGGACTTAGCCTCTCACTTGTAAGTAAGATGGATTGGCCATAGTTTTGTTTAAGGACAATCTTTTTTTTCCTCCTTCTTGGAGTAGGACCCCTATGAAAGAGTGAAAGGTGTCTTCATTAATTTAATGTCTCTAAAACTATCCAGAGATACTTTGATATTAACATAAGAAAAGAGTCTGTATTTCTGAAGTGAGATGTTCATAGCCAGATTGTAAATCTTATTCTTTTGTAATACTGAGATTAATTTATTTATATTTATTTATGTCAGTGAATGCATTGGTTTTACATGTATAGCAAGACAAGTTCAAGAAGCTATGTATAGAAAAATTTATTTTCTCTAAATAGAAATAAATAATTGATCACATTTTTTGTCTCATGTAGTATTTGGAATTTATTTTCTTAGATATAAATAATTTATTTCTAAATAAGAGATTCTTCTCCTTCCTCCCATAAGTAGTTTAGAATGCTCTCCTTTGCTTCTCCTGGTATGAAACATTTTCATTTACTTTGAAGTTATACCATATTGTACTTTCTCAAGCATGTCATATTCTCATATTAGAGTTCTGTCACTTGTTATTGGTTTACTTAAGGGCAATCACATTAATTTCTAGATTATTATACATTCCTATCATCTTACCAATTCTATTTAAGTGTTGGAATAGGCTAGAACATACACATAACTAAATTTAACAATAATTATTTTGTCATATTGTTTCATCTATTTTGCTGTTGAAGTATTTTAAAGTAAATTCCATATACATCATGGTATTTCACTATAAATACTTCAATGTGTATTTCTAATAATAAGGAAATATTTTCAACCTAACCACAATCATCACAACTAATAAGATTAACAATAATTTCCTAATAGTTTTTAATATTAGGAAATTCTTTTAACTCTCCTAAAAGTTCTGTGTATAGCCACATATCCAACTACTAATTCATTTGTTTGTTAAATGGGAGGGCCTCCTCTGCCTACACTGGGACAGTCTGATGCTTCCTAGGGTAGTAGCAAGCAGCAAGCAAGTAGCACTGATTCAATTATTCAGAAAAATACCGAGAGCCTACTATGTGCAGGTTACCACGTGCTAGGTGTGAGCTTGTCAAGATCACTGCAGTACAGTGGCTGCCTTCATTTTGCTTATATTCTACCACAGGAAAACCAAAACTAACACTTGCTGAGAGAAAGAGTATAGAATTACAAGTGTTATAGTAATCACCTGTACAGAATACAGGGAGTACCTAAGCTATCTTTGCTACACGGGTGAATGGTGGGCAGGGAGGCGTGCAAGAAAGGATGTGAATTACGGAAGGACAAACAGAGGAGATTCACAGAGCAGGAATGGAGCCTGCAAACAATGCAGTGGGTTCAAAGCAGGAAAGGCCCAGGCAGAAGACTTGTGTTTCGTGTAGAAGTAAAAATTGTAAGTTCCAAATATTTATTCTGCCTTGATTAAATTTAAAGTTGGACTCAATGAACACAGGTTTATAATAGCAAGAATTTTAGACATTGGGAAATATTGAACTTCAGCAGTACAATACATTGAGTTAGCCTGTAGATCTTATTGTTTAGATAAAGGTAAAGCTGAAAAAAAATTTTAACAGTTTTCTTGAAGAAAATAATATAAACGTAGGCATATTGTGGGTAATGGCATTTTCTTGTAGGATTTATAACTACTTTGTGTCCTGTTGTCATGAACTTGAATAATTTTATTTTTTCCCAAGGCAAGCTCTGCTTTGAGATTATACTTTGATTTCAAAGATTGTGTTGCCTTTACTTTTGAGACTGATGCTGGTTTGTTGTAGGAAATTATACTTGCTTACCACAGAAATTTGCCTTTTATTATATTTAACCTACTATCACTATCAGATTTCTTGGAACACTTAAACATTAATAGTTTTTGTCTTACCACACCCCAGCATTTTTTTTTTTTTTGGTTAATGCCAAAGTGGATACCTTATTTTCTATTCAAACAACTTGAGTGTTCCCTCCACTCCCTTGTCTAAATTAAAAACAACCTCTTCCCTAAAGTCAATGCTTTCCTTGCAAACTACCTCAGTGGTGGGTGGTTCATTTTCCTACTCCATGTGCCTCAGTGTTGAGAAGTGGTGGTATTCTTTTCCTTACTTCCCATTGTGTCTACTTCCATCCATCTCAAGTTTTCCATATATTCTTTAAAGAGTAATTATTCTTTCGCTCTAGTAGGGCATTTTACTAAAATGTTTTTTCCCTATAGTTTTCTCTCTCTCAATTCCAAGTAGGTAGCCAAATTTTCGTCTTCCTTGCTACAGGGAAACATCGTGACCTGTGGAAGCAGAACCACTTAAAGACAACTCTCTTTCTTACTATTCCTCTCTGAAATCCTGTACTCTCATCATGGACTAAGCTGTGGGGAGGGAGGTAGAAGCAGAATCAGGAAGAGAGAAGATTCCCGTGAACAATAAAGAAGACCTGTGTCGCTCAAAGTCTCTGATCCAAGCATCCTGACAGTTTCTAGGGTGAGGAGGTAAGAACTCAGAGGTGAGTGATGGGAAGTATAATGTTATATTTTGAAGTTGGGACTAGCAGGATTTGTTAAAGGATTAGGTGTGCAGTTAAAAAGGAAAGGAATTAAGGATGACACCCAGGGTTTTAGAGCAACAGAAAGGAGATTGTCCTCTTTCCTAACCTTACTTCCCTTGGGGAAGACTTTTGTAACAGAAAGATCAGGATTTTGTTTTTATACATGGTAAGTTCGAGATGCCTTTTAGACATCAAAGTGAAGATGTTGTATATGTAGTCAAAAATACAAATCTGGAGTTCTGAAGAGGGGTCTAGGCTTGAGATATATATTTGGGAGTCATCAGTAAGAGAACATGTGTCAATGAACCCAAATGAAAAAAGCAAGATGAAGACTTATATTCAACATTAGGGTTTACAATATGGAGGTCATTGGTCACCTTGAGCAAAGCTCTTTCAGTAGAGTAGTTGTAATGAAAAGCCTAGACGGAGGGGCTAAAACAGAGACTGGGATGAGAGAGATTGAAGATAGCCAATACAGATGAATATGGACAACTTTTTTCAAGAGTTTTACAGAAAAGTTTGGGCAGAGAAATGTTTGCTGGAACATACTGTATGCTCAAGAGAGATTTTCTTTTAAATACGGGGGAAATTATATCATGTCGTATGCTGATGGATATGATGCAGGAGAAAGAAGGAAGAATTTCTAAAGCCCTTGAGGAGAGGAGAGGTAATTGACTCCATCCCGAGAAATGGTATAGCTAAGTCGTTAAGAGCATGGATTTTGAAGACAGACTGCCTAAGCTCAAATCAAACTCCTGCCATTTAACAACTGTGTGACTTTAAGAAAATTCCTTATCTCTGTACCTTATCTATCTATAAAGTTATCTATCTATAAAGCGCCTTTCCGTCTGTAAAGTGGGAATACATAGAATTGCTATGAGAAGTATGAGAATTAAGTTAATAAACATAAAGTGCTCAGAATAGTGCCAACCACATAGGAAGGGCTCAGTAAGTTTGAGCTCTTTTTAGTGCACAAATGGAGAGGAATCTATAAATACGTAAAGTGGTGCTAGAATGAGATTCATTGTATGAAATTACCTTTCACAGCACTTGCAAATCTGCTGGCCGAAACATGTCTATCTGTGGAATATCAGGAAGGGTTTAGGAATCCTCTGCTTTCCCTCTGATTCCTACATTCTCAGTAAGTCTCATTATAGCCAACATCCTTTGTCACTAGTATTGTGGATCTGCTCCAGGGAGGTTCCTTTTTGTTCATTTTCCTCCGTGGCCACTTCAGAATGACCATGAGTGGAGGTTAGGGGCTCTGTTCTCCTTGGAATGTACAGCTGTTGCAGCCCACTTACTGCCCATGAAATTTGGGGCACCCAAAAGCTTGACCAGCCAAAGGTTTTCTAAGTCCAGGATCTTAATTTCTTTGACTATACAATTCCCTCAAAAACCCAGTGGGCTTCTGATCTATTTGCTTCCAGGGCACACTATGGGATAGTTGCCACTGCCAAATAATTTGCTGAATTGAATTCTCAATCCTGATCTGTTTCTTTGCTTCCTACTCACCATCTCATTCTCTCCCTTATTTCTGCAGGTTCTCACTCATGGCGGCTTACTTCCTTGTGTGCCCGGTTGCTTTTGACTGTGCTACCTGTTCCTCTTGGCAAAGTTACTTGTTGGGATTCCCTAAGGCATAGGGTGAAGGTACTCTCTCCAGAGATACTTTAGTTTTCCATCTACCAAATTTATTTGGCAGTATCATTTGGGTACTACCTTAAACCACGTTTAGAACTTGGGCTTTCCTGACCCACCCAGGGCTTGAGAACTTGGACTGGGAATCCTTACCATGACTGGGCAATTGCCACAAGTTCTCAGGGTTAAGTTTTTATGTTTCTAGCATTTTTAATTTCTTCTGCTCCATTCGACACTATGGCAACCTTCCCTACAATCTTCCAGGGTTGGGTTCAGAAAAGGCGGGTTTACTTTTGATTCACTCTGAGCCTGAGGGTAGAGTCCTTTACAAGTCCAGCGTAATGGTGGGACCACATCTGATATAACTTTCTGCCTTGAATGGGCCCTGGACCTTGACTTCGGTTCTGCTTGCCCCATGAAATTAAAAGG